CTCCTGTTAAAATTGTGGTATTGGATATTAGATTTTTCATGCCCATTAAGCTTTGCTTTATATCGTTATGTGCTCCCGTGTTTGGTGCATACATATTTATGAGTGTTACCTCTTCCTCTTGAATTTTTTCCTAAGTAGCATATAGTGGCCTTCTTTATTTTGCTTGATTATTGTTGGTAAAAATATGACCGCTTCACGAACTTGCATGTCATCCTTGTGCAGTGGCCATGATAATCTTCTCTTTATCATTTCAATTTTAGTACATGTGCTGCCGAAGTGAGCACAATTATTTTGAATACACAGATACAACATGATTGTTCATTTGTATCCTATATTTTGTTTTGTTTTGTCTTAGAATGACATTCCATGATCATTTAAATATTGTAGGTGCATGAATTCAGCAAAATATTGCAATATAATCCAGTAGTCCATAATAGTAGTGGGTTTTACATAAGACTAGCAATGTCAGAAATTGTTGAGTTGAGCTTTTTACCGCTCAGAGTATTAATATGGCTTTACTTTTTATACTATGTTTATATACTTTTCTGCTCTATGGTTAAGACCAAGATAATAGAAGACCTATATAACAAGAAATATAACTTTTGTAATCTTGATTAGAAAATTTGGGACACAATTGAGTTACATGATGTTATAATACAGGTTCTCCTATGTCCTGAGTCTTCACTGATTTGAAAGCCTAGGGCCTAAATGTTGGCTGTCCTTGCAGCCCTTCTTTCTGTCTAATTTTAGTCTGCAGACTTAGTTTGTTAACTCTCAAGAAGAGAACCTTATTGTTATCATCCTGCAACCTAGTCAGTTGAGCTTAACCTCACTATCTGTATGAATAACAAAAAACTTAGGCATGATATGTAACAGGTATTTTTTATCAAGTATTTATATGTGAACTTTAAGTCCTTATTGAATATGAAGAAAAAAATTAGAAAATAAAAATATGTTTTCAGAAATAGGAATAAAATTTACATATTTTCACATGGACCTTCACAAGAATAACAATATCATTCATTGTAGCAGGATAGTCACACCACACCCCTTTTCCTGTATCCTGCCTTCATTCAAGATTCCTTTCCTTTATAAAGAAATAACTATCTGAGAGAAAGCATGGCGGCAGCAACTGGCATATCACAACAAGTAGCACATATTCAGAAGAGCACAATGACACGAACTCCAAGAATGAATCTGCTATTAACATTACAATAATCAGTGCAATTACTTAATTAACAGGAATCAGACTATATAGTCATGGTGAGAATCCTTGCAATTAACTGCTAGATTCAAAAATTTGCTGAAGATTCTCAGAAACATTGCCTTGCCCATCTTGTACAAATAAATGTATGGCTTTGCCCCTGTCATGTTTCCTACTTTTTCCCCATGCTCACTCTTTATTGTCTAATTCTCAAGTTCTCAGGTTCCTTTTAATTGTGTTATACCTTTCTACTTGTATTTCTTCTTTTGAGTTCTTATACTAGGGAGACTATAAGATATTTACACATGTGGGTCTGGATTATTTCACTTATGAGTATATCTTCAAGAGGTATCCATTGAAATATGAAGGTTTCGAGTTTATCATTCTTCAGTGCTGAGTAATACTGCATTGTATAAAAATACCACATGTTTTTCATCCATTCCTCAGTTGATGGGCATCTTGGTTGCCTTTAAGACTTGTCTGTAACAAATTGTGCTGCTATACACATAAGTATACATATATCCCTGTGATACGATATTTTGAGTTCCTCTGGGAAAATTCACATTATGGGGTTAGCTGTAATGGGATTTCCAGTCCTGATTTGAAAGGAGTCTCCACACTTATTTCCTTGATGGTTGCACCAGTCTACATTCCCACCAGCAGTGGAGAAAGGCTAATTTTTCCCCACAGCCTCTCCAACATCTTTTTTTGATTGATTTCTTTATGATAGCCATTCTCTCTGGGGTGAGATAATATCTCAGTGTTGTTTTGATTTGCATTTCGTGGAGGGCTAGTGATGTGGAGCATTTTTCCATACATTTATTCGCTTCTTTAATGTCATCTTCTGAGAAGTGTGTGTTCATCTCAAAATGCCCATTTCTGGACTGGGTCTTTAAATTTTGGGGCCCTAATATTATTTAGTTCATTAAAAACTTTAGAAAGCAGACCTCTGAGTGCTTATTTGTCAAGATTTTTTGGAAATTTGTGAGTTGTCTTTTTATTATGTTGGTAATTTCTTTTGACATGCAAAAACTTCTCAATAAGAGAATGTCCCAGTTGTTAACTTTTTCAAGAATTATCCAGGCGATTTGACTTTTGTTCATGAACTCTTTCCATACCCTATATCTTGAAGAGTTCCTCCTACTTTCTTTCCAGGAGTTTTAGTGCTTCTGTTTTAATGCTTAGATCTTTAATCTATTTTGACTTTAGCTTAGTGCTTGGTGATAGACCATGGTCAAGTTTTAGTTTTCGGCATGTAGAGAGCCAGTTTTTCCAGCACCATTTGTTAAAGAGGCTATCTTTCTTCCAGTGAGCATGTTCGGTCCCTTTGTCAAAGATAATTTGTCTGAGTGTGTTCATAGAGTCTTCTGCATCTTCCAATCTATTCCATTGATCCTCAGGGTCTATTTTATTGCCAGTTCCATGCTGATTTTATCACAATAGTCTTGTAATAGAATTTTAAGTGGGAATTGTAATGCCTCCTGCCTTTTCTTTGTTGCCCAGGATTGCTTTTGCTATTCTAAGTCTTTTCTGGTTTCAAATAAATTTCAGGAATGATTTCTCTAGGCCTGTGATGTATGTTCATTGTAGTTTGATCAGGATTGCTTTAAAAATGTGCAAAAATTTTGGGTGTGTGACCCTCTTTCCAATGTTGGTTCTTCCTTTCCCGAGGCAGGGAATATCTTTCCATTCTCTGATATCCTCTATGATCTCTTTTTTCAGAGTAGTGTAATTTTCTTTGAAAAGATCTTGGACTTCTTTACTTAAGTTAATTCCCAGGTATTTCATTTTCCTCAGTACTATTGTAAAAGGTATTGTTTTTCTAATTTCTCTTTCAGTGTGTCTGTTGTCTGTGCAGAGGAATTTAAGTGACTTTTAGGTAATGACTTTGTATCCTGCTATGATGGAGAATTTTTGTATCAATTCTAGAAGCCTTTTGGTGGAGTTTTTGGGTCTTCAATTAAAGTATCATGTCATCTGGAAATAATGATAATTTCATTTCTTTGCCGATTCATATTCCATTTATTTCTCTCTCTTATCACATGCCTCAAGCTAGTGATTCAAGAAGTACATTGAATAGGAGTGGTGATAGCGGATATCCTGTCTTGTACCAGATATGAGAGTAAATGATTTCAGTTTTTTTCCCCTTTAAAATTATGTTAGACATTAGGTGGTCATAACTGGGTTTTCTCAGATTGATATATAAGCCATTTATTCCAATTTTCTGTAGGACTTTGAACATGAATGAGTGTTGGACTTTGTCAAATGCCTTTTCTGCATCAATGGAGATGATAATGTGGTTTTTAGTTTTTTTTTTTCTTCTGATATAGTGTGTTGCATTTATAAATTTTCGAATATTGAACCATCCTTGTATCCCTGGGATGAATCCAACCTGGTCATGGTGCATGATCTTCTTGATGATTTTCTGTATTCTATTTGCTAGGATTTTCTTTGAGGATTTTTGTATCTATGTTCATGAGGGAGATTGACCTGTAGTTCTCTCTTTTAGTTGTATCTTTCTCTGATTTTGGTATCAGTATAATAATTGCCTCCAGGAATGATTTTGAGAGGATTGCTTCCTTTTCAGTTTCAATGAAGAACTTAGAATTATAGATATTATATCTACTGTGAGTTTCTTGTAGAATTCAGCTGTGAATTCATCATGCTCTGGAATTTTCTTTTTCGGTAGGTTTTTTATTACATTTCGTATATCATTGGCTGTTACTGGGTTATTTAGAGTTGTTATAACTTGATTGAGTTTTGGTAATGTGTACCTTTCTAGGAATCTGTCCATTTCTTCTGTGTCTTCTCTTCCATGAGAATAAAGATTCTCAAAGTAGCTATTGCTAATCTTCTGCATTCCCACCGAGTCTGTGTTGATTACATCCTTTTCATTATTTACTGGTTCTATTCAAATTTTTGAATGCAGTTGAGCTATCTCCCCCACCCTTGCCTGGTTTTCTAAATCGTCCTAAGTAGGGGTTGTCCGGTGGTGGGAATTCAGGAGACCACAAAATTTTGGAGCTTTGCTCCAGGGCCTGTGGAGTGGAGAGGTGGCAAGCATGCCCCCTGGTCCGGCCAGCGCTGGATGAGCCTGTTCTCTGCCCCACGAGCCTCCTGGGTTGCTACAGACTTTTCCCTAACCTCTGACCACAAAGCATAATGGAAATGCTGGGAGGTCTGCCCAAGTTTTGCAGGGCATACAGCATGTGCAATACTATTTATTTATTTTTTCAATAACTAACACACTGCATATATTCTTCTTAGTGGTTAATTGCTGTACAAGATGCGGACTTGAGATCCTATTTATAAACACCATTAGAAGAAATCATTCTATTCATTAAGAGAAGGTAACTATATATCTATCCTAACCACTTTGAATACACAGATACAAAATGGACATTCATCTGTATACACTTTTTTTGTTAAGTTCCATTATTTGGATATTATAGGTGTGTAAACTCAACAAAATATTCTAAAAGAGTCAAGTAGCCCATAATAGCATTGGGTCTTCTGTTTAACTGGCAATGTCAGAAATTGTTGACCTGAGTCCCCCACAGCTCAACATAACAGCATGGCTTTACTTCCTATCTTTCGTCTTCATACTTTTCTACTGG